AGCATTCCCCGAACATGCTGCCCCTGATTCCGCGACATCTGCCGCCCTATGCCACAGCGCCGCGCGCGCACGCCGGCTTATCACGGGCGGGCTTCCTGGGACTCTTCACACGCTCCTGTCGACGCCGACGGGGTGTGCACTCACGAGCCTGCGCCAGCGGCACGGCCGGCATCGGTGCCGCGCCCCACACGGACTCGGCCAGTCGTGTCCAGCCGGGATCTAGACCGCTGGACTCCTGACCCGATGCGGATCGAGCTTGTCCGGTGACCAGCACGTGAGGGTGGCAAGGTGAAAAACATCACATCTTCCCGCCGCTGGCTACACAGCCAAGTGGTAACCCTGGGTCACATGCTGCTTGACACATTGCAAATGCCGAAGAGAGGACTCTTCGCAGGCTTTTCTTGAAATCACATGCCTTCAACCACAGCCTGACAACAACCTGGAGAACCCACTCAGCTGCCCCACATACGACACCAGTGCGCCGACATACGCCGGAAAACCTCTTTCATAAAAACCACCTACGAAAAACATCGACTAACGTTTGAACGACACCGGAGAACATCGGCGGCGAGGCGTCCCCTCAGAACGCTTCGATCAAGCATCCGCACGTCGCCCATCCTCCCAGGTGCTGGGCCCCGTGAACTGAGGGTCGCCCATCGTCTCAGGTGCCGGGCCCAGTGAACTGGGGGTCGCCCATCGTCTCAGGTGCCGGGCCCAGTGAACTGAGGGTCGCCCACCGTCTCAGGTGCCGGGCCCAGTGAACTGAGGGTCGCCCATCGTCTCAGGTGCCGGGCCCATCGTCTCAGGTGCCGGGCCCATCGTCTCAGATGCCGGGCCCAGTGAACTGAGGGTCGCCCATCGTCTCAGGTGCCGACAAAGCTTTGCATGCTTTTCTACGGAGGACATTGGGGGACAGTACAGCTGCGGGTTTACCCAACGAACCGACCAAAGCCGAAAATATAACTAGCTTGCCTCTTCCTCATTTGCCGCAATTCGCATCCATGGAATCCATCGCATCCATCCATGCCGTCTGCACCTCTGCAGCTTATCCTGCCCGTGTTTTCTTCCCTTTCATTTGCTCAATGATTCGCCCACACCGCATTAAGTTTACTGATATGTGATACTCTGATATTCTGTGTATGCTGACCGAACATCACATTAGGCGCAACCTATTTATCAACAACATAATTTCAATGTAATTCACATGCTTCTGCTGCTGTCTGGGCGACCACGATTTTGCCACGCTCGCGTTATTTTACCGTGCAGTGAGTACAGCAAGATCCGACACTAATTGCACGATACCCTTATCGAATCTGCGCCGCTGTCGCTCGGTTGTCATTATTCTAAAGGACCCGATCATCTGGGCGAACCTATACCTCGACACCTGGCCGACTTTCGCCCCCACATTGCATGCATAGGGTATTAATTTGCGCTAGCACATTGAATGCATACGAAAGGCCGCTTAGATGGAGCAGAAAGCGCATGAATAAAAACTGGCGCTTTTGCAGTCCCCTGCTGTGTGGCTTCAGATCCCACCATCTCCAACGAAACATTCCAGCGCCACTGTCTTCTGGCCGATTGCTGGCGTTGCTATGGGTAGGGCAACGTTGCGTGCGTTGCAAGGTTTGTAGCCACATCGACGGAACACGGCGTCGAACCGGTTTCACACCCCGTATTGGAGTAACACCTCACAGTAGAAAATCACCAGTTCCGACCGGTGCTGGATCGATTTCTGAAACCTGCTCGTTACATTACAATCGCTCAGTTCCGTTGCAATGTTCAATGTCTATCAAACTAAGCCGCCGCACGCTCGGTTCGAAAATGGATGGGCCAGCGATGCCACGGTGATACTACACCAAACAAACTAATAACTCTAAATTCATTGTATTGGTCTTTTTTTAATGCACCTGAAGTCAGCATCTTAGCAAACTAATCTAAGGCGATCGTACAGATCCTCTCGACAATTAACTTCACCTACGTTTTCTCTTCAATTTTCGCGCCAGAAAACAAAACGTTTATATTTTGTTCTGTAAGTGGCACATTTGAGCAAGAAGTGGCGAAACGCACCACACCGACATTTGGTTCAAGGGAGTGTTCCCCATTTGCATAGTATTTTGAACTGAAATTGAAATCTTGAAGACCCTTTGGTGCAGTTCACAGACCTGCCCTTTTAAAGGCCTAAGCCTCTCTAGTTTCTAAGCTTCACGCCAGCGAGGACGTGCACTTTTTCGGAGACTATTTCAAGGTCACTCAAGCATACATGACGCCAAAACCTCGCCCTTCCAACCCTGTCATTCCATCAGCCACGTGATGATCAAGGTCAAGAACATATAATTATCGAGTTGTTCATGTCTGGCGTTCGTGAGCGCGATATCAAACGTAACGGCCGTCCATTGGCTCTCAAGTAATGTGCAAGGTACGACGACGCAATCAAACGGTGATACTATACCAACCTGCACGCACATGATGACGCACTGGGGGTCATATTTGCTAAATAGAGATAATATGTTGTCTAGAGCAGTATTTTCCACTTAAAAGTGTACCAATAGTGATACGATAGCTTACTTCATCACAGCTGATGCTTAATGCAATATCTTCAAATGCGGACCATTCCTTTTAAGCCCCGTGTATGAAACGATACACACAGCTCGTTTGATTTCTGCGCAAATATTCAACGAAATTACACCAACGTGCAACAAACTTGCGCAAATAAACACCCTTTTTTGTCTAACGCGCTTGCCACATAACCCAGCTGCATACGCTCGAGGAGGAGCTTACGTCAACACGCCTAGATACTGGTGCGGCGTAGCGACACCGAACTTTTAACAGCTATAGGCAATTCAATAGCCGATCCATCTGTATGAAAATAAATTAAAAGTAATAGACAATCGATGGAATAAAAAGTTTTTACGGTCGGTGACCTATAACGGGCCAGAGCCGGGCCTTGGGTATCAGTGAAGGCAATTCCTTGGGAATCATTTAATCCAATGCGACAACGGAGTGTTAGACGAATGCATACACCTTTGGAACGATTTCTTAGACAGCCAACCAATCTAGTTTAGAATTACAACTAATCCTACGGACCTTGGATCAGCTATGAAGGTCAGACCGATGTGAAAACCCAATTGCCAAATTACAAGTTACTGGAGGCCTTGCTTTAAAGCGTAGTTAACGAAGTTCATTTCGGGTTTCGTTTCACGAGGACGCCAACAGATTTGCTCTTTGGACTAAATGAATGTCGAAGGAGGTGACTGACCTAAAATGACCCCCATTAGCCTTTTTTGTAGAGAATATGTCGCCTTAGTGACGCTAGCAGACATAAGACTAGATAGATAACTAGACATTAGATAGACAAATAAAAGCAATCTCGAGGCAAGAAAGCCACTGACCTGAAATGAGCCCGAGCGGCTTTTTGTTTAGTCGACATATCGGGGTTAAATGCAGCTGCATCAGGAGGTTTAAGGGCACTTCGGACACTCATCTAGAGCTTGAGTTTGACCTTCTTTGACCTCATTTGCCCCAACAGTCATGACCTAGAAGCCTCAAAATTTGACGCCAGGATTTCACTCACATACAGGCCTACCCAACCTGTGAATTTAGGGCATCTAGTCGCCGTTTTTTCTTTAATTTCAGTAAGGGTGAAACTGACCCCCGCCGGGACGCAACGCCTTCAATCTGCCACCCGGACGCGTATATCGCAGGCACATTTGAGCGTTCACAAAAAAGGTTTACAAAACCGGGGTGGGACCTGTTCAGCTATTTCTTAGAAAACAATCTTCTCCAAAATAACAGGCACGGCTTACTGCATTCCTTAAAACGACACGAGCGCCTGCCGTCGGCGATCGTGTCCCTTGCCCCGGGCCACGTTGCATGCCGGACTATTTGCCAATGCACCAACCCTCGAATGTGAGACCATGATTCGAATCTCAAACAATGGGGCGCGCGTTTGTATCGGTCACTTCGCAAAAATCGAGAAAGGTCGGCAACGCTTTTGGCCCGGCCAGGTATACGCATCCATAAAGCAGCTGTTTAGGGCGACCTGAGCATGTTTTAAGTGAAAGGCACGACAACCTGCAGTACAAGAATATAAGGAGACAGCTAAAGACGAAGAACAAACACCGACATTAAGCATACCGGTGTCTAGATAGGCTTCCCACCGCGCGGCGCTACCTCAATGGCAGAGCAATCCCAGCTACGGCCGGGTCCACGAGATCGCAACTTTCAGGGATCCAGCATCACCATCCGAGACAGCGACCACACGAACACCGACCGGACATCATCAGCCTTCCCCAAATCACTACCACTGAAGACATCAACCGAAGGTTCCTGCCGGCCCACCGGACCCCGAGCACAACCGGGGCGATCTGGCCGGAATCCCGACACATGCACCGGAGCGGTCTGGCCGCACCCAGGACACGTGCACCGGGGCGATCTGGCCCGCACCCCGACACATGTACCGGGGCGATCTGGCCGCACCGCAGACAAGCTGCACCGGGACGATCTGGCCGCACCCTGACACATGCACCGGAGCGGTCTGGCCGCACCGCCGACACAACGCACCGGGACATCTGGCCGCACCCTGACACGTGCACCGGAGCTGGTCTGGCCGGCACCCAGACACGTGCAACCTGGGGCGATCTGCCGCACTCCGACACATACCGGCATCTGGCCGCACACCCGACCATGAACCGGAGGTCTGGCCGCAACCGCCGACACACGCACCGGACGATCTGCCGCACCCTGACACATGCACCGGAGCGGTCTGGTCGCACCCCGACACACGCACCGGGACGATCTGGCCGCACCCCGACACACGCACCGGGGCGATCTGGCCGCGCCCCGACACATGCACCGGGGCGATTTGGCCGCACCCCGACACATGCACCAGGGCGATTTGGCCGCACCCCGACACATGCACCGGGGCGATCTGGCCGCACCCGAACACATGCACCGGAGCGACCTGACCGCACAGGCACTATCGAAGGCGACCAGTTACTTACTTGAACGACGGCAGGCTGGCTTTCGTGTCTTTCACGTACGTCAAGTACAGCTTCCACAGGTCCAAATTGAGCACCTTGACCAGACAGCGCTGAAAGAGCTGCCAGACGGAGAGAAAACTCGGTTGCAGGCGGCACACATGTATTTGGCGGGGCGGCGGGGTGTGCGCGCTAGCAGCGTGCTTACACTAACAGCTGCGGCCGCTTTGCGCATATTGTTCTTCACGTTTACTTGGCATCCGAGGCAGAGGGTTATTCTTGCTAGGCACAGCATGTACATTATACACACGGGGCCCTGCCTGTATGGTCACGCAGTACATTCACCACTCCCTCCAGACACGCTCGAGTGTCTTCATATAAGCGCTGGCACACTGCAGGCAACACTCTCCTCGGGGTAGTTTAGGTGGGTTTTAGGTTTTAATCCGATCAATTTCCCTTCCAAAACATGACTGTTTTGGCACGTGTAGCAGCGGTGATTGAAACACAAGCAGCTTCTTGCAGAGGCGGATTCAGAATTTTCTGTGGTGGGATCCTTTCGCTTCCCATAGAGTCCTTGTCAAAGCTAAAGCTTCCCGGATCATTTCATCGTGGGGTAGACCTCACATATAGGTTATGTCACGTAAGCAGAGAACGCAAAATGCCAACAAAAATATGAAGAGCCTAAGGCACAAACATAGAGCTGTAATGCTGACTATCAAAAGTATCACAATCAGAGAGTCTGTCATAATGTGGTGACCATTTTTCAATCACTTTCATTCGAACTCGTTCCATATTCATCATGTTCGTAGCTCAGACAAGTGAGAGGTTAGGTTTACAGTGACGTGCCTCCCATTATGTATTTCCTGACGGTGCCTTCGTACCATTTTTGTTTCTCCAGGCCGGGAGTTGGCATACGAGGATCCATTCATTATTTATGAAAAATTCTACCATGTATTTTTTCACGCCTCTCGTCTATGCTGCTCTTTGGGGCTAGTTCCTACCTGGTAACGCGAAGCGCAACGGGATGAGTTATTTAAAGGTCGGCCATCCCCGTGGCTCAGTTGGTTAGCGCGCCTGGCTCCCGATTCCCCCACCCGTGGTGGGGTGGGTTCGAGACGCTTCAAAGGCGCTAGCTGTTTGCCCCTGACTGGGCTGGCCTACGACCGGTGGCAGCGGCCGCGCTATCAGTTGGGTGATGTCAGCGGCCTGGACAGACCGTCCCGATCATCGCGGCGCGGCAAGATCTCGTCCCAAAATTCCGCCGTCGAGCCAGAGCTTCGTGACCAGGTGGCGAGATCAGGGTCAAACTACGCAACAACCACTTCAAAGCCTGGCCCAGAAATCCTAGAAATCAATCAAATCAAAAGGTTTGTGCTTAATCTAAGGCGGCACCAGTCGCGACTTCTCCCTCTCTACCGCTACGCAATTTCCTGCCAACCCCTTGAAGTTGGTTGACACCATTTGCGAACCAATTCGTCGAAAGGCCTCAGAAATTTCAGGGGGTCTAGAGGACCACTCTCAAAAATGTGTTTTTCCCTGGGGCCGCGCAGGAACGGGATTTACGTTGATCTGATCCTAAAGGTCACCGGTTGACACGGGAGGGCCACACCGGACATCAATTCATTTCCTACGAGCTGAGTTTCCGCCCGTTTGGTTTCGCAGCCCCGCCGAGCTTGTGTGGGCAAATGGCGAGGAGAAACACCGTCCCTGTGCTTCACGTACGAGTGAAAACAGCCTTCACCTGGTAATGACGAAGCCTTGCCAGCTTCCGCAGCGTGGGATAATCCCGCGGCCGCTTTCATAGCATGAAAGCCGCTTTTATAAAATTTAATTAAAGCCGCCATAGCCGCTTTTCATAGCCATAGCCATGCTAGCCTGAAAAGAACACGCGGTAGTCTGGTGTCTGATTCAAAGCTTCCGCCCAGGAGGTTGGCTGTCTGTTTAAATGATCTGTCGAGACGGGTCAAATATGGTGAAATTGAGTCTTTTGGTGGCTGTCTGTAGCTTCCCATATGTTCAGACAGGCGCGTAGCCAGATATTTCTCCGAGTGGGACGTGAATTTTTCCCAACTACTCAAATTTAAGCTAAGTTCTTGAGAAATCGCACATCATCTCGTGCGAACCTCTTGGCTCAGGAGGCTGTGGACCCGTCTCCAACCCCTCCCCCCCCGCCCCCGCCCTTCTAGCTACGTGCCAGCATCAAAGGGTGAACATAGCACCAAAGTACGCCATTATTCCCTTCCTCACACTATCCCCTTCCCTAAAAGGGGCACTGTGAAGTAATAGAAGTTGTCCATGTGAAGTTATCTCACGACTCATTGTGTTTTCAACCTTCGCTGACTAGCTTGGATGATCTGAATTCAAGCGCTAACTTATCCTTACGTTTTTCTTTCTTACATTCATACGCGTTAGTATCGCATTGCGCATTACGGCCAACAACAAAATATGGCTCAAGATTACGGTGAACAACTTTTAACACTTGATCCTTGTGACCTCAACATTGAACCATTTTTACGTTACCATAATCGCAGGCCAGCTTCGGTGAGTAACTATAGCACGGCCTTGCGGCCTAATTTGTCATCCATCTCAGTGTCTGGGCTGAAATGACTGAACACCGAAAACCTTTCAAAATGGTCGACAGCCATGAAGTCTCAAAACTTAAGCGGAATGCTTCACATTTCAAGATCACGAAGCAAGCGTCAGACACGATGAAACAAGCTAACTTATAACTTTTGGTACACTTTTAAGTGGAAAAGACTGCTGTAGGCAGCGAAATTCTCTGCTTAGCAAAGATGCTCCTCAATACGTCATGGTTTCACCACGTCATCGTACCTTGCACAGCATTGATTGAGGGCCATTGGCGGCCGTTATATCTGGAAATCGTATTCACGAACTCCAGATGTGAGCGCCTCGACAATCAGATTTGTCTCAGTCTTGATCACCGTATGGTTTATGGAATGGCAGGATCTGGATGATGTTACCTGACGTCATGACTTCCAGGTGACTTCTAAATCCTCTCCCCGATATACCTTTCCCCAGTTTCGAGGGCGCGTAACTCAGAAACTAGAGAGGCTCGGATCCTAAGAAGGGCAGGATTGTGAAACGCACCGTAAGCTCCTCAGGACGGCTATTTCAGTTCGAAGCCCCATATAACTGTGGAGCGTTCCCTTTAACGCCGTCAACACAACAGGAAAACAAGGCTCCAAACGCCAGCGTCAAGAATCGGCGGTGGAATACTGTTTCGTACTTTTTGCATCTCACGTTTTTGAAAGCGGAGCCCAGTGAAATGGCATAGCACGAAAGGAAAAGTGAGAGGTCGCTATACAGGGGTTCGAAAGCCAACTAGCTCAAGTCAATCCAATACAATACGATCCAAAAAGGGGTTAAAGACAACTTTGTAAGACCGGAGAGGCCGTATTGCTCCCTTCGTCGCCGCTATTACTGCCCTTAAATACTAACACAAGCCGTCGTGGTCAACACCCTGTTACGGCAAGTATCATACACAAGAACATAAATATTTTTCAAGCGTTACGATTATATTTTCAACGTACGGCATTGAACGATGCTCCATGTTCCCAGCACACGTCTTCAACATATGTACGGGTTCGGGCAAACGGGCCGAGCCTGTTTTGAAACTACCTGGACTGCAAATTCGACCTTCAAAGCAGGTGCAAAGCAAGCGCTAGGAAAAACGGAATATAACAAATCCGTTTCAAGAACAGTCTAGATGAGGTCGAAACTCTCCGGTCGTAACAAAAGTGTACCATCCTCGAGGTGTCATAAACACACTGGCTTCGACAACTTTTCGAGCACAATTCGCGTCTTACAACTGTCTTTGTACACAGCACACACGTGCATTTTCACACCAGAAAGAAAGGCGTGTCTAAGGTTCTTGATTTATCTCCATTCAGCCATACTTCTCCACACTCGTGCCGCCTCAGGTTATGACGCGTCGGAATATCTGGATGGCTCTGTTCTACGCCACACGTAGGCGAGGCTCATTTCGTCGGCAATGATACGCGATATACCGCATGTAGATGGACGTGCAGTGGTTTTATACCATTTCCCGCTCATTTGGAATAAATAGAACATAACACTCTCTCGGAATACTCAATCCCATTAAATACTCCTGGAATCGGTTTATTTCTGTACCAATAAGCAGCCCCTTGTTGGTCAGGGGTGGCTACTGAATAGCTCCCAAATACGTCCAGTTCGAAGCCAAGTACACCACAACTGCTTTGCTCCAGTACGCTCGCAATGTGTTACATGCTGACAATACAATTGCATTTCCCATGACGTAACGCCCGGACCCTACGTTACTTCGCTGTCTGAAAGAGCTATTAAACTAGATTACTTTCCTTTTTATGGAGATATCGACCAGCAGACCAACAAGCAGGCGATGAAAGGCTGCCAACGTCAAATGGAATAACCCAATGTCGATTACTCAACAGAAAATGTACTCAATCCCAGCTGTAATGACGCTGCAACCCGCTGCCCGTAACACATCAGCAGTATCAACAAGACAATGAATTCATTACGCAATATTATTGTCCAACATTTGCCTGCAATGACACAATTCATCAGCTAGAATATAACGGATAGGTGGACCCTGGCATTTACGAAAACCACGACAGAAACATGGGGGTCTGAAGTTAGGCGTGCCACATTGCTCCTGTGCACCCCTACAATCCATGCCCTCCTAATCTTCCTTACAATCAAACTTCATGCGTCGCCCAACACGAAAAGAGCGAACAATGCAGGCTATCCACCACAAGACTGACAAGATTCATGCCATAAAGCACGCGTGGGAGAGCCCCCGGCAAAACGCCGACTCGAGCCCTGCGACCAGCATCTTCCCCAGCGCTGCTGCCGCCGCCGCCGCCGCCGCCCGACCATCCCGACCCGGGGCGGCCTTCCGGCGGGCGTCCGGCCGCACCTCATCACCTCTGCTTGGCATGCACTTCAGGAGCGACCGGAGCGGCGGACTGGAGGCCGGCTCCGGCCCGCCGGACGTGCCCGGGCAGCCGCCGAGCGAGCCGCGCGCGACGCGGACCAGCGACCCGCGTGGCAGGCCGTGGGGGCGGGGGACGCGAGCTGGCGCGCCGCGGCCGGCGCGGCCTTG